GCCCCCTCCCTCCTGACCCTGCCACTTTATCTGTTGGTTTTATTCTCAGCGTTCATGCTCTCCATATGTTACACTAATAGTTGCTATAATTCTTGTGCAGCCGGGTTCGTGTTTTATTAGCGGTGAGTGAGAAGAGAGTGGTGAAGAATGCATTTTAATAAAACCCTCTGTAGCAGCGCGGTAATGGGCTGACACTGACCCCCCCACCCCACCCCCCCACCCTCACTGTGGTATTTGCATAGAGATGAATTAAAGCGGCCGCCTTGACGTGACTTTTAAAATATGATTGAGGAGGTTATTATTGCCGCAGGATGATACGTGTTAACAGGTTATTTTAGCGCAGCTAGTGCTAATAAAATCCACAACAAAATACTCCAGGTGATGAACGCTGGCTCCTTCTCCCCTCCCTCTAGACCCGGCCACGACCGACTTCAGCCTCATAATTAATCACATTTATTGTGAGACATTCAAGGTCTCAGTCTGCTGCCAGACACCAGCACCGTGTGGGAAACGTTACATTTATTTATTCATCTGATAATCCACCGCTGTGTTGAACCTCTGCACTGACACCAACACTTCACCAGGGTCAGAAACTAGAGGGAGCAAAAGAGTCGCTGTCCCTCAAATATCACAAAATCAGTTGGTTTTTTAAGTCAGAAAATAATCCACATGCTAATGCTATGTTTGACGTGTTCCACTACAGCACTGGTCTGTTTTTGTCCATTAAAAATAACTAAAAACCAATTCAACAGTTCCATCCCCCAGAAATATACCATTAATTAATTATTAATCTAAACATCAAAAACATCGATATAAACAAATATATTGATCATATAAAATTATAATAATTTTTGTAAATAATAAACATAAAATCTAGACCAAAACAACTAGAGGGGAGGTTTAAAAAGTGACAAAGTAGATAAAGGTTAGCTAAGGTTAACCTAGCGTAGATAATTAGCTGAATAATTATCAAATCAAAGACGACATGTTTTTACACGAGGGATAAAATAGAGATGAGGAAAACATAAGTAAAATTTTGTAAAAAAAAAAAAATAAATAAAAGAGTAAAAATGATAAACGCTATTATAATTACACAGCTAAAAGTTAGCCAAAACATTTAAAATAAAGGTCAGAACTTTTTATTAATAACCAGATGGTTCCAGTCGTGCTGATAAATTAGTAAAATATTGCAGAAGATTAGTAAAAAAAAAAAGGTCAAAAGAAATCCAGAAAAATGTTAAAAATAGAGACATTAGTAAAATCATTAAAATTTTTTTTTAAAATAAATAACATCAGTGAATGTGGTGGAAGTTGTTCCTGTGGCTCAGGTCGGGAGTTTGATTTTGGGGCGCGGTCACTTCCTGTTCTCTCACCTGTTGACGGCAGCAGTAGACGGAAAATATCACTGAAGAGATCAGCTCTGAATAACAGCATTAACACACACACACACACACACACACACACACACACACACACACACACCTCATAAGCTAATAAGTCTTGCGTTGACATTTAAAGTTACATTATTATAGGGCTAATTTGGAGCTGAAGCCTCAGGCAGGAGTTTCTTTTTCATCAGGTCAACCAGGACCAGCTTGAGACGAGAGGGTCAGGTACAGTGCTTGGGGGCTAAGACGGGGGTCTGGTTGTACTAGTAGTGTTAGTGAAGGTGGTGGAGGGGACTGAGTGTAACCTGAGCCTCTGGGTTTGACATTCAGAGCACAACAGCAGCAGAGATGGATACTGGGTAAAATGTCTTCTGTACACGCAAATACAGACAGTCTCTCTGAGGAGGACGCTACATTTAATCCTTCAGGTGACCTTTTAAAAGGCAGGGGTCAACTTTCTGGCTTTTTGTTCTTGTTGTTGTTTGTTCTGCTGCTGAAAAATGACACTGGAGCGGAGATCATAATATCACAACTAACATTTTCTCTGAGCTAAAAGTTAGCAAGTTACCATGGAAGTAGCTCAAACGATTTACAACACAACAAGGGGAAAATGATGTAGTGTGTAGTGATCAAGTGTACAACATGTTATGGGGTTAGCAAACATGACACCCTCCACAAAAATATAAGTCAGAAAAAAGTGAAAAGTTAGCAAATAGCTAAATGTTCTACATCTGTGCATCTTTCTGAAACCTTCATTGCTGTAAAACATCTAAATCCCTCTACACATGTCCTTGTGTGTAATCTCTTGTACGACATGGTCACCTGAGAGCTGCTCAATGGGCTCTTTATAAAGAGCTGCTAACGCTAACACATTAGTCACGCCAGCTAACAGCTAAAGATTTAGTGGGAGTCAACAGGTGGAGACAACAGAACAGGTGGGAGACACACACACACACACACACACACACACACGGTGTGATGATAGAAACGTCCTGTGTTAAATATCAGTCACTGATCAAACACCAGGACCATGTGATGTTTGGACGCTGCCTCCTGATTGGCTCTTTGACCGAAAATAACTGACAAACGAATGTTGTTAGCAACATTAGCCTTAGCTGTGGCTAACTGTGGCTAACTGTGGCTAACTGTGCTCTGCCTCCTGTACCAAATGATAGACTCAGTATTCATCACCAATCTGACGGAGAGGTCTTCAACATAGGACCTGCGGCCCTTTGGTGGTCCGCAGTAGGGTGGTTTAAAGGTCACATCAAGTTCTTGTTAAAATAATGAGTTCAATTATTAAAAACAGCTCAGTGTTTGTTGACGTGACGTTTTGGAAATAATTATTCTTTAATTGTGTTGATGAACAGCAGGGTGAAGGCAGCGCCCCCTACTGTAACGTCACATGTTAAATGACAAGAACATGAATAAATGTTTAGATATTTGTTAAATGTAAAGTTGCACCGTTTACTGTACTACACTGTACTACAGTATTTACTGTTGACTATTCACAGTAGTACAGTTTGAAGTACACGCTGTACTTTGACTCGTCCTTCACTGATGTTGTGGCAGCGTCGAGTCGACGTCTGAACTGAACCTCTGTGGAAATAAAGTCAATTTTATCATTAAAGAGTACTGAGTTTAAAGCAGTGGGGCGCGGCCCCCTAGTGATCCAGTCTGAGCGAAAGACGGTCAAAATGAAAACGCACAAAAAAAAGGATTTTTGTGTTGGTGTGTCAGAGTGAACGACCTGGTTAAACCTAACTGGTTACTGGTTAAACCTAACTGGTTAACCCTAACTGGTTAAACCTAACTTGTTAACCCTAACTTGTTAACCCTAACTGGTTATCAGCTCAGTGGTTCAGTTCCACCACTGAGAACAAACGCCACAGTTTTTCACTGCAGTGACGTTCATTTGAAATCATCTTTGAACAGAAACAAACAACAGAGTTAAAAAGTGTGAAACGTCAGGTTCAATTGATAGAAATGACAGATAATAATAATAATAATAATAATAATAATAATAATAATAATAATAAAGGTATTTAATGAAATTCATCTTTATTAAAATCAAAAATGACGCTTTAGTTTTTAATTGTTTCTGAAAAATCTTCATCTGTTTTTCATCTTTTTCTTTGTTTTTGGGTTTTTTTCTAAATTGTTTCTTTGTTCATTTTTTGGTTCTTTCAAGATATTTCTAAATTGTTTCTTTGTTCATTTTTTTATTCTTTTTTTTAGTCGTTAAATATTTTAGTTTTTTTTTTTAATTTTCTCACATGTCCAGATTTTAAATGTCATATCTAACGGCGTCTTCATTAATTATCAGTTCTTTTTATACTTCCTGCTGTGATGACGGTGTTACATATGAAAACGTCCTGTGAAGAAACAAAACAAAGAATTCTCTTCAAACAGAATTCATGCAAATGAATAGGTTAATAACGTAATGACCGTTAAACCGTTAATTGTTTGTTATTGTTAATCTGTTTGATTTAAGGCTTTAACGAGTTCCATCTTGTCGAACAAAACCGATGATGAAAACATCTTAATTACCATAATAATGACGTCATAATTACACAGTCAAATGTCACGTAATAATAAGACTTCGGTTGATCAGTCACTGCTGGTCAGTGGTTAGTCGTTTTGTTGGTCGGTTAAATTAAAGGATACGAAGAATTTTGTATTGTTTGTTATCTGTCATAATGACGTCACTGCAAGAAACCAATAGTTTTTTAATTTATGACGAACGAGGATCTGAGCGAACGATTTATTATTATTATTAAATTATAATAACGATAAAAAATAACATGAATATTTATAATAATATTAATAATTGTTATTTATCATCATTATTACTAATAATAATATTATTATTTTAAAGTCCTCATCTGTCCGCTACTGTCTCTTTTTCACTTTCACCCTTGTAATAAATCATTATGTGAATTACAAATTAATTTATAATAATAATAATAATAATAACCTCCTCGTGTTTTTTTTTTTTTGTTTTTTTTTTTTGGTTCCGTGCTTTTTTTTTTCTCTCATAAATTATTTTTACGCCCCGACTCTTGTTCCGTATCCGAGTTTGATGAATTAAAACCAGCTGCTGCTGCCGCCGCGGCGCTTCATTGACTTTTCAACCCGAGATTAAAACAACAATTACAATTAAAAACAAATAAAACTCGTTTCAGAGTGTGAACTGCGGCTCGTCGATTAATCAAACATCTCCACGGCAACGCAATCAATCGGAATCATTAATGAATTAATTAAGAAGTGTTGATGAAGCCTTAAAATAAAATACATATTTTTGCATCGACTCACGTGAACCGTATCGTGTTATCGAACATGATAATAGTGACGCTGTAATGACAATTACATGGTCAAAATATTCGATATTCGATATATTATAGTGACGCTGTAATGACAATTACATGCTCAAAATATTCGATATTCGGTATATTTTAGGCCCTCGATCCTTTTAGGCCCTCTGAAATCGATCCTCACATAATTTGAACAACATCACAATGTTGCGTGGATGAAAAGTCACGTGGTTAAAACATCGGTCAAACCTTTGAGATTTTATTAAATAAAAGTGCGTCATACATGAACCCGCAGGAAACACATAAATAAAACCAGTATGTGTGTGTGTGTGTGTGTGTGTGTGTGTGTAGGTTTATGTACAGGTGCGTGCGGTGCGTTCACGGCCTCCTCCTCCTTCCTCCGTGACCTCCTGCTGTGTAAGTAATGAGGCGTTCACGGGCCCGCAGTCAGGATCAGACATTTAGTTCCGTCCAATAGAAAAAATCTGAATCTGTACAAAAACTTTTTGTTGTTGTTTTTTTTTTACACAAACGACACAGAAGTTTCTGTCTGTCGTTCGTTTCACTCCGTTTATATACAACACAGTCTGTCCTCATGTCCTCATGTCCTCATGTCCTCATGTCCTCGGGTCCTTCCGGTCCAAGGGCGTTTCCGGGGATTTTGGGGACACCCATGAAAAAAAAAAGGAAACATCTAGTCTCTGTAAATAAGAATCTCCTTCGTTTTTTCTTCTTCTTCTTCTTCTTTTCTTAAACTTCTTTAACTCTCCGTGGTTCA